TGAGAAAACCAAAACCCTAATTGCAGGCCACTGCTTAGAATAAGGGTTCATCTGATCAATTTTTGAATAGTCTTAAGTGTTTGAGACCCTTAAGAGCATGCAGAGGTATCTTGAATCAATTTGTATTGAAAAATAGGAGGAAAAATTTTGGGGTACAATATTTGTCCTCTCACAAATAATCCTCAAGAACCATCTCTCCCACATCAATAAAGTTTTCTCCATGCTTATTCATGAAGAAAGTTAACACACCACCCCTCGATGAAAAAAGTTATGACCAATCTTGCCATGCATAACAAACCATTCAATTGTGGTCGTGGAACAAACACAAATGGAATAGTCAATTCTTCTAATAGAGGGAGAAGGCACAAAATTTGTCGCTATTGTCATAGAGAAGACCACACCATTGAATTTTTCTTCAAGAAACATGGCATCTCTCCTTACTTCAAGAGGAAAAATCTTGCTCACTGCTTCAACAACATTGATGATATTGGTGATGGATTAATGCCTGAACAATGTTGAAGACCACACTAATGAATCAGGAAACCTAAATTTCATCCTTAACACTACTACATATAATATATTTCATGACAAATATTTCACCTCAGCCAAAAGTACCGAGGTATAATGTCAAGTCGTGTCGTATTTTATTTCATTTTTAAATATAAAAAAACATATTTCCTCGATTTTTAACATCACCGAGGGGAAAAACAATTCAGAACACGAATCGAATCCCAACTATTATAGTTTATGTTTTTATTTCGTTATAAGTGTAAACTAAATGATCTATCTTTTCAATTTCCTTAATAATCGAATGATAAAATAATTAGATATTACTATAAAATCACTCGTTAAACAGATTTTATCCTAAACCTAATAAAACGTATCCTACAAAATCTTGATTACAACAAAGATGTGTTATTCTTCAAGAATAACAGCTACTATGATAACACTGTATTTGTTGTAATAATGTAATTTACTATTACGTGTAAACAATGTAATGTTAAAAAAGAAGCTTATTCACCTCGGTTTACTACTGAAACTGAGGGTAAATATATTTTACCTCAATTTTTGTAAAAAATAGAGGGTATAATTTTGGTGTGATTATTGAGAATATTGATCACCGTCCTTAAACAATTCTTTATTGTCTATTTCATGAGTATCAAAACTCAAGACAATTTCATTAGTGATCCGCGTGAAACCTAACAGACATCCATTATAAAAGCATTCTGAATATCAATAATTGTTAGTGAAACATATAACATGAAAACTTTGAAGCGTAAAAAACTTGGTAAAGTTCTCTATGATAGATTGTAAGAGCAGAAAATAAATTGGATTTAAGGTTTGTGTTATTCAATAATCATATTTTTTTATAGTGTTCTTCAATAATTATATATTTATTTTATTTAACTTACCATTTTCTCGTTTTACATCTGAAACAAATAAATGCAAAAAGGGATATAGAATATATTGCACCCATATTTTCTTTTTCCCGACATTTCAATGAAACGAGGTTCCAACATCTGATCTTCACTAAAATCGATGATGATGATGAATCAAATTCAAAATTTATTATATAATATTTACAAAAAAAATCAGTGTAAACAATGTAATATTTTGGATAAATAATTAGTTTATTAATATTATGTATTTTGTAACGAGTTTTAAAAAAATATATATTTTACCGCTCGGTTCTACTAATAAACTGAGAGGTATGATGCGCTAGTTTTGAAAATATTAAAAGTGTAAAAGTTGGGGTTTGAACCCATGTGCATATGAATTTTCCTTCAGTGTTTTAAAACTCGAGAGATAATGTAGACGATTTTCATGACGCTCTTTGTTACCTCATTTTCGTAGTTAAGATTAGTTGCATTTCGCATCTGAGGTGAAATGAATTTTTTTTGTAGTAGTGTAACCATCAAAAGGCTTACTTATACTATTACAAAATTCCCCTTAAAAATCTTCTTCAAATGTTCATGAACGAAATTCATCCATATACTCTCTTACATGTATTCATACCTCCTTTAAGTCTTTCAATGTCCATAGTATTGGTAATTGGATACTTGACACTAGGGAAACCAATAATACTTCTATTTACTAGAAATTTTGATAAGTAGAGATAAATTTGATTTCATATTAGTGATTAAACTCGAAAAGATCTCAGAATAAATTATGCTAAAATTATTGGTTTGAAACATATTTGACAATGAATGTCAAAATGAACAAATAAAAATTGAATACAATAAACGAAATAATGAAAATTAAAGGAAAATTAAATTTACAAATGGAATGTAAATGCATACCTTGATTCAAATCACGCATTTCTCTCTAACACTTGGATATTTTGAGTATAGAGAATTTTTGTAAAATTGTGGATCCCTAATCTTAAAAACATGAGCTACTTATATATTAGTTCTAACATAATCATCATTAACGGTCAACTTAGCAGAGTTTGACACGTCTCCAATTCCATGCTTCTTTCTCCTTTGACAAGTTTATCCGTGTTCTTCAATAATCATTTGGTCTTATCCATTTACACTTTGCTTCGACAAAGGTTTGTGTGTAATAAACGTAAAAACTGAAAGTCTTCTAGATTTTACGAAATTCCTAAACTCGAGACTATCTTACCCTCAAATCAACCGTTGTTGATATTTGCCTTTCGACCAAAGCTCCAAGTAAATTTCGTAGTTTTCAAATGACTTGCTTCAACTTTATGATAAAAAATAACCATTTCAACTAGGATCTAACTCAATTCAATTTATCACGACTGTAGATTGATTTTTTATCTTCACATTCGCTTTGTGCTAAAAATATGAGGTAACAGTTTTTCACTCCAATTTATTTTCAAAACTTCAATTCAAATTAAAAATCTTTTTTAATCAAATTCTCCAATTGTTCCACTATCACCACTAATTACTCGGGCACAATTCATTTTTCACCTAATTTTTATCTTAACAATGTCCTTTATATACCTGAATTTTATACCAACTTGATCTTAATACCTAAGCTTGCTTCTACCCTTAGATGTAATATCTATTTTGATTCCTAAATCGACATCATACAAAGTGTCCATACCTAATAAACGATTGGTGTAGGTTAGTTACATCAAATATAATACTTACTCACCTTTCCATCTCTCAAAATACATGACCCTAGTCAATTTAGCAATAGTGTAAGTGTTTCCATCTCAACAATTATAATATTTGCTGTTATTGTTTTGGTCATCCTGACACTCTTGTTCATATTAATAAATGTTAAATAGGTTTAAATTTTTTTAAAGTGAGACATTTTCACTTTTCGTTTTAGTAAAAAATTTCGTTAAATAATTATTTCTCTATAAAATTTAAAATTTAAACTTTTAATTCTCATATAATTTAATAACGATTTTTACAACTTAACAACTGAATTAACGATAATTTTTAACGATGATTTACAACTAACAACTAAATTTAATGATGATTTTAACAACCATTTCAGTAAAAAAGACAAAAAGTTAAAATTCCTAATTTTTAAAGAACAATTCTTTAATGAATTTTTTAAAAAACAAAAAATAAAAATATTAAACTTTAAAGAAATTTTAAACATATTTAACCATATTAATAAACATCATTCTTTTGTAAGAACTACTAAACCATACATGATTGTGAAAGTTGTTTTCATGCTAAACATAATCAACTTCCCTTTCATTTCATGATAACACTAATATTTCTTATAATTTGTTTTGGTCTTCCACATGTGGATATTAGAGGATTTTTTTTAATCTTATTATTCCAATTATTATTATAAATAAATATTCTCTTTTTAAATTTAATAAAAAATAAATATATCTGATATTTTATATAAATCAAATACATTTATTATTCAATGAATCTAAAAAAATAATTATTATTTATAATAAAAAACAGAGAGAGTATTTATTAGGCTATAAATACTTTTTAACCATTATAGAGGATCATGATAGATTTTGTTGGATATAGTTAATGTGATTGAAGTTTAAAAAAATCTATTGACTCTCATTAAAAACCAACTTCAAACCTTATCAAAATCAGTCCTAATGATAATGCGTCTGAATTCATTTTAAAAGATTTTTATAATATTCATGAAATCCATCATCAAATTTCACATATTGATACACCACAACAAAATGATAGTACAGTGGAGAGAAAACACAAAATATGACTCATAATCGTATGTTCCAAACCTATTTACCTTCTTATTTTTGAGCTCATGCAATATCTCATGATATTATAAAGACTCAAACAAAATACAAATTTTTAAAAACAAAAATTAATATAATATAAAGAACTAGAAATAAATTAAAAAATATCAATAATGTGATAGAAAAAGAAATAAATGAAATATAGAATAACAGTTGGAAAACTATAAATTCTAAATATATTTGTTATTCTAAAAGATAACACCAACCCCAATGACAAATAGTATTTAAAAGTCCAAGCAGAACTCAAGCATCAAATTACTAAGAGGTCAACATCACCAGAAAATTTAAAGCTTAAAAAGAAAGTTTAAAATAATAGCCACAAATTAAGCCACCATGAAAGACATACAAACTTCCACGACGCTGCCTATCTCACATGCAATTGCCGACAATAAATAAACATTCACACTAGTAGTCTAGTACCATTTTTCTTTCTTAAGTAATCTCTTTTAACCAACTTTTCAACTGACTCCTAACACAAGTCATATGAATTTTTATAAATCCATGTGCTTGGATACTTATCCCAAGTGTGAGTTAAATCAATTTTTTTTTAACATGTTGCATTTTTTGGATCACATTTAAAGAGACCAATTCATATCATGATGTCATCCAAATAAGAGATCAGAACAACAACAATAACAAAAACAATTAAAATTAAAATAAGAAGAAAAAAAAGTGTTTATGTATATTATATTTTCAAACCGAATCATTTATGTAAAACAAAATAGTAACTAATTAACAACATGAAATAAGCACAATATGCTTTACAACTGATTGATTCTGAAATCTAAACCTTTCCAGCAAGAACAGGAATACTTTGCTCATTTCTGAAAAAATTATCAGGATCAACTGCAGTCTTAATCTTAACCAGCCTATCAAAATTATTGTTAAAATACTTAGCACCATAAACTTGGCCTTCTTGATAACTATTCTCACCAAAACTATTAATCCCAATATCAAGATCCCTATAGTTTATATAAGCACTTCTTGGATTCTTTGACACATAAGGCTCCATGAAACTATAAAGACTCTTAGCTTGATTCAAATAATTCAACGTAGCATTAGGGGCTGGATCATTCCAATTCACTGAAAACTGAACTTTGAACAAGTTCCCAGCACGGTGAGGAAAAGGCGTCGCGTCGGCCGGAATCTCGTTCATTCTTCCACCATAAGGATTGAAAACAAATCCAACTTTTCCTAACTCAATCATCTTTTTCCATATCAAATTCAATGCATCTTTTGGAATAGGTTTCTGAACATAATCAGATTTTCTCTTCCCGAAACTCGCCGAATTTAGATTCCTATCTAAAAGACTCTCCGGTTTTGCACCGTTGTTGAATTCGTCGGCGTCGTTGTACCACAGAACTGAATTAATCCAACTCAATTCAAGACAATCTGATTTTTTCAATCCTAAAAGTGGGAATTCTTTACCTAGAATTCCCACCAGTTCCTCGGCGCCTCCGAGGAACATAGCAACCACAGAAGCTCTAAGAGTTTTTGTTCCTTTGACTGTCTTGGAAGTTATAGGCTGCAAAAGAAGTCTCATGAAAAGCCTATTATCAGTAGTTGGAGCAACTTGTTGCCATTGAACAACCAGATCGGTTGCATTTTGTTCTATAGTTTTCTCAATTCTGAAAACAGTAACAGTTTCAGGAACCGCTACTAATTTAACAGTATAAGATAAAACAACACCAAAACTAGCACCACCACCACCTAGTATAGCCCAAAAGAGATCTTCTCCCATTGATTTCCTATTCAAAAGCCTTCCCTTAACATCAACAATTTCAGCATCGATAATATTATCAACAGATAAACCATATTTTCTCAACATTGTACCGTATCCTCCACCGCTGAAGTGACCACCAACACCGACAGTTGGGCACACACCAGCAGGAAAGCCATGAACTTTACTCTTTTCGTAAATTCTATAATAAACTTCACCAAGAGTAGCACCGGCTTGAATAAAAGCAACTTCGTTTATTATATCAACATTGATTGTTCTTAGATTGAACATGTCAAGGATGATAAAGGGTTGTTGATTAGAGATGTAAGAAATACCCTCATAATCATGGCCGCCACTTCTGATTTTGATTTGAACGTTAACTGTTTTAGCGCAGATAACGGTGGATTGAATATGTGAGGTTTGTTTAGGAGTTACAATGATTGAAGGTTTGGAAGTTGAGGAGGTGTTGAAACGTGCGTTACGGATGTAGTTTTGAAGGACAGTGGAAAATGAAGGGTTTGATTGTGGGAAAACAATGTTGGAGATAGATGGATCTGTGTTGTTTTGTTTGAGGCAGTTAAGGAAAGTTGTGTACAAAGATTCTGATGCAGGTGCTGCTGCTAACGATGTATAGCAAACAGTTAGTAGAAGAAAAACAAAGAGAGACAATAGTATTGGTTTTGCCATTGGAATGTTGTTCTTGTGAGTTTTGTAGTGAATGCGTGGGGTTTTTATAAAAGAAGGATCAACATGTTGTACAGTTTTTTTGACATTTTGGGTTGAAACTTCAACAACGCGCCTAACATTGGACTAGACTTTGTCGTGAAATTTAATAGTATTTTAATAATTGTCTTTTATTTTTGTTTTGGGAGCTTAGAGCACCACGTGCAGTTCATATTTTGGTTATTTTGTCAAGTTTATTAAAGCACATTATTTTAAATAATTTATTCAATTTAAAATTTTAATCGGATAATTTAAAAGAGTTTATATTGAGTCTTAAAACTTTGCATCATATAACATTGCATGTGTGTCACACGGATTAAAGTTCAGCAAGATCTATTGAATACGAAATTCAATCACATACTTCATCTATTGAGACTGATGAGTAATTGTATCCTCGTTGAAAGACCCTGCGTTAAAGTTATTAGAGACAGTTATAATAGTTGTTCATATCTAGTAGAAGAGAATTGGGTTAGTCTTTGAAACATAAAAAGTTTTGTCTAGAGTTAAACATCTTTTATGGAGAATCTGTAGGAGCTACCTACCTACTTGTGTGAGACCCCGACAATATTATGTTGTGTGCATGTTAGCCTGTCAATTATGTGATCATAACACCGAAGATAAGTAGCATTTGTTTCTAGAATGCAACGTAACCAATCAGTGTTGGAGGACAGCAGGTTTGTCCAATCTCATAGACTCTCGTATTCACTCGTTTTAGGAAATTAAGTCACTTATTTTTTATATACGTAAGAAGGAGGACAAAAGAGTAGTTGGAAGATTTATTGTAATGATATATGTTATTAGGAAGAACATGAATGACTTTATTTGACATAATGAGCAAGAAGAAGCGACTAAATTGGGATTATGTGTGTTTCATAGGTGGAACGATTGGTTTCAAACTAAAGAAGTTACATATATCAATTTGCAAACTCATCATGATTTGGCGTGGAATCCTCCATGTGTGGGATGAATGAAATGTAATATGGACGCGACTTTTAATAATAACAACGACGCTACAAACAAAGAGTGGTGTGTGCGTAATTATCTTGGGAATTTTATTTTTGCAGGTGTTGCTTGAGACTTAGGGATTCTCCCTGTCATTAAAGTTGAAGCCTTAGCTCTTAAAGAGGTAATTTTTGGAGTTATATATATGCAATTGGAGTTTGTTACATTCAAAAGTGACTCTTAAAGAGTGGCACAAGTTATCCATTCTAATTGTAAGAGAGATTCAAAGTTTAGTCTTATCATTTAGTCTATCTCTAATTTATTACAAAGTTTTTCAAACTTTGAGGTGAAGTTTGTTAAACGTCAAGCGAATATGGTTGCTCACTCTCTTGTGAGGGCAGCCAATTCTTGGACTCAATGTGATTTGTTAAATTTGATTCTCCGTTGTATCGAACATCATTTGGTTAATGAAATGCATTGATTTTGTTTTGATCAAAAAATAGTTGTTCATATATAAATGTGACTCTACATCCCACTAATGTATGATTAATTACAAACTTGCAAGTTTATTCTCTCTTATTTTAATAACTTGGGTGTTGACGGTTAACCTTGTAGGTATATTTCATTTTCGTCTACCGAAGACTTCTACCATCATACCAGAGATCTTCCATAGTGGACTTCACCGAGTGATCACCAACTTCTTGTTCCACATTAGAATGGTGGCATTGTTTATGGGAATCATTTATTGATTCTAAAAAAACTCCACTCTAAACTTCTCAAATGAATTAAAATTTTGTTTATGGGAATCTTTTGTCAAACAATATGATCATTGTTATCTAACATGACACTACTATAAAAATATATCTTTGGTGAAACCATATTAATCTTGCAAGTAATTCGGGAGATCGGCATGAGAGAACATTTAATATTAGGACAAGAGAAACACACAAGTGAGAGAGACGCCATATATTCACCTAAAACCTTAAGGTGATAGGTGTGTGGGTTCTCTCACTTATAAAGTGATCAATCTTTCCTTTTCTAATCAATGTGAGACTTCTTCCTCAAACTTGATTCTCAACAATTACTTCGGCCGCATAGTTAGTTAACCGTAGTAGTAACCGATATTCACTCGCCTTAATTTTTTAATATTCTATTAGAAAACACTTTATCATGGTCCAACAAAATGATCGTTGTGATATATTAAAGGTTATTTGCTTCGATTTCTAGCACCAACAATTTTCACTTCCTTTCGTTACAAAAAGAGATTGTCATTATACTCTTATAAATATATTTTAAGGACCTATCATCATGATTAATACCAGAAGCTGTTGTGAATAGTACATACATATTATCACGGTTTATTGTAACAGTCGTGGTGATATGTTTTACACGAGTGTGTGTGTGTCTATATATATATATATATATATATATATATATATATATATATATATATATATATATATATATATATATATATATATATATATATATATATATATATATATATATATATATATATATATATATATATATATATAAGCGATGTTAGCAACCTTTGTATCAGAATAACCCTCAGTCACTTAACAAAATCCTAACTACGCTCTCTTCCACATCCTGCAAACTTCAAGGTAATCAAGTCCTCAATAGCATCTTCAATCTTAAAGGTAATCAAGTTCATCTTCATAATCTTTCCTTCATGTTATTGATATGTTTTCTTCTTCTTTTTTCTCAAAATAAAACCCTAACATATATATCTTTCAATGCAGTGAACTCGTCATGAATATTTTCTTCAAAATTAAAGATAATCTTCTCCATTAATCTTCTTACATTTTTCATATCTTTTTCATGTATTATAGTAGTTATACTTTAAACGTGTTTTTCATACCTTTTTGGATTATGTTTCCGTTTATGTTAAGATGTTGTTAATGCTAGCTTATGTTTTCAACATAGGTTAACATTATGAAGACTGTTAACATTTATTTTGCTATGGAGAAGCAACGGAAGAAGTCTGAAGCTATTTTGGTAGCTTCATTCACCTTATATTTCTTCTTCATAGTAATACAAATGGTTTGTTCAGCTCTACTTCAGATCATTCCATAATTATTTTCAATTAAAAGTACATTGTTTTCATTGTTGATGTATAATATTGTTGTTCATAAATAGTTTGTATTGTTGTTGATAGGTCTATATTATTGTTGATAAATGTTATTGTTGATGTGTGTTGTTGTTATTGTTGAGTTTATTATAATGTATGTAGATTGGTTGCTTCACTACTAACCCTTCATTGAATATGCATTTATATAAAGTGATTTAGAAAATAATAATTTGTGAATTAAGTTATATTGAAATGCAACTCAGATCATTCGTTATTCTTCGAATTGCATGCACCTCGTAATTCATCTATCGCTCGTAGAACTTGGTTTATTGCCCCAAGTTTTTTAAAGCAATAGTTCGTTCTCTTTAGTTTTATATTGCAAACCATCAAATTTATTGAGAAATTCTGAATAATCTTCATCGCTACCATCACAATAATAATTATCATCGATTAAAATAATGATGATTGTAACGCCCCGATATTTAATTAAATATTTTTTTGATTATTTTATTTTTTTTAATTCGAATTTTTATCGTTGAAGTCGGGATTATATTATTAAGTTGGAATAATAATTTAATCAGGTTTATATTGGTATAAATAAGTTGGAGTAACATTTTACTAGTAAGCTTAGAATTGATGTTGGGCTTAAGTATGGTGTCGCGAAGTAATAAGGGAGTGTTTTGTTTAGGCCCATTTAAGTTACTAAGGGTTAAATAATAATATTTTATTAGAAAATAGAAGAAAGGAGAGAAAGAGGTGTTATCAGGAAAAACAAAATAAGAAGAGAAAAGAGAATAGGGTTTTGTGAGAAAAGGAGAAGAACGAGGAAGCTGCTGCTAGGGCTAGTTTCCAGAAATTCCATTGAAGCTCCCTTGATTATTTCAGAAAAAATCAAACCAGGTAAGGGTGGGTTTCCTATACTATAATGGGGTGTATGATACTTTGTATGTGAGAAATTGTATGTGAAATTGTTACTGTTTTATTGACTTGTACTTGGCTTGTGTTGTTGTGATAATAAAGATTAATATTGTTTTAGTTATAGAACTATCAAGGAAAATATTTGGGTTGTTGTGTTGTTGTCTGGGTTGAGTTGGATTTAGGAGACAAAAGAATTACTGAAGCAGTGCCGTCCGACACTTGTGTATGTGGGGAGGTTATCGTTCGGCAACCTTTGGGAAAGGGAGAGGTGTCGATCAACACATGTGTAGTAGGTGGAGGGAAGTGCCACTTTGGCACTGTGAGGCAGGGGCATTTGTTTTCTCTGTTTCCTCTGTTTTTCTGCTTGTCCTTCTAAGACACTATGCTGCATAATTCTCAAAAATATCAGTAATAGCTAGTAGCAGTATATGAATGTCACTGTTTTCAGTAGCAGTAAATTAAATTTAGTTGCTAGAAGCTAGTTTGATATGGAAGAATGGCACACCCATAGTTGTATAATAAGTTAGAAATTTTAGGGAGAACAAATAACAGTGGACTATATATATATATATATTAAATGGTTGAATTAGTATTTTATTAGTGATAAAAATAATTTAGCAATGGGATTAATTGATTAAGTTGGTAAATAATTGGAGACGAGTTGATTAATTTGGTATGTTGGTATATTGATGTATTTTGCGAATTGACTGAAATGTCGTTTTGTTCCGATATATCTGTGGTGAATAAATGTTGTGTATTTACCCTTGATTAATTGGTAATAACGGCAATATAGGCCTTTGGCCAATGTTGAAGGTGTGAATTGTTGTTATGTTGACCTTTATTATGTTGTTGTCGTTGTTGTGTTGCCAAGTTGTGGTTGTTTATATCATCGCATAGCATAGCATAACATAGCATTAAAGTTGGCCTGGATTGGCATGTTCTAAGTTGGAGCGAATGCTCACCATGTTGGCCTTTATTGGAAAAATTTATGTTGAGGGCTTATGCCTTA